TCAGAAGACTTTCGACCAAAATATGTGTTTGTAGAAATGTAAGTAGTCACAATGTTATTAGTACTTTTAAGTTATCAAATGACAGTACAGTAGATATAGCTTTATGTACTTGGTTTATATTAAACAGTATTACTAAAAAATGGAATTTTTCCTTTGTGGTAGAATATCAGTATTAGAGGATCTTTCTCATTATTATTAATTATCCTAATAATTAAATTTATATTCTTTGAGCATCCATTTTTTTTCCAGAAAATTTCTAAGCACTTAATAAATTATAACCTCAGTGGTTTTAAAAATTCACTTACCTCATTGGATTTTGAATTTTATCTTATCAGAAAGCACAAAGTACTGCAGAACTAAACAACCTGACCAATAGTCCTATAAGAACTGGATCTTCTGATGTACAGTGAAATCATTTGAGGAGAATAAAAGTGATATGTTAATTTAATAATTTCAAATGATTTTTATACCAAAGTAAATTGAAATGCCGTTCCTTACTTTGCTAAACACCCATAGGCAATATTATTGCATATATACTTTATTCAAAAGCTATTTATTTCTAAGGTACTTACCCAAACTTGGCCTCTGATTATTCACTGGAGTGTTACAACTAAAATGTGCTTGCTGGAAAACCCTGGTACATGAACACCTGAGCTATCAAGGCCAATCCTCTTTATCTTGAACATTCCTTGATTAATTCCTCTAGAACCAAAGCAGGTGTTCACTACATTTGTATTAAAGAAATAACATGATCAGGTTAATAATCAACTGATGAAATATGTAAAAATTAAGAAAACAGCAATAGAATTTTTTTAAATTAATATGTTTATATTATTATTTTATCCATTATTTTACTTCTTTTAAAAGTTGCACAGAATTTGAAAAGATGTGCCAGTGGTTGTAAATTTCCTAGTAATTAGTTCTTTTTATTTCTCACAGGACTCCCACATCAGATTACCAATGTACTTCATCATAAATATTTCAGAATGCCTATGAGAAAAAGAATAAAGCTAAATCAAGTCCAGAATGCAGAGACAAATTACTGGCGCATTTACAGAGCTCTCAACAATTCATCAGATTGTACAATAGTCAGAGGAGTTTCCTGTGGATATAAAGTCCGTTTGAATCCTTAAGGAAAAGAGTGGATATTGAAGAAATATGTTCTTTAATTTGAGCAGAACGGCCAGCAAAAAGGATAACGAATTTGCCAAAATATCTCAGGATAATACTATTAGCCACAGGTAATTTGATGATAAAAATTGGTGTTACCTTTGTATGCTTTTAACACTACATGATTTTCTTTGCAAAAGGGTAATTAATAAAAGACTGCACAATTTAATAGGTTTCATCTCATTTTTGTAGTTGAAATCAATCACCTCAATGGCAATCAGATATTAAGTACATTGTATTATTTAGCCATAGCCTTTAAGAAGAGAAACAAAAAAAAAAAATTCAGTCCATTTGTAATTAAAAATCTGTTGATTCCCAAAATTAATACTATTCCTGATAAGCTCATGTAAAAGGAGTGTATAGAGAGCTTTAAATAGAATTCATTTTTTAAAACTTACCTGAGAACCCTGTTAACATCTTTCAGTGTCCTAATATGGCTATAACTTTAAAATAGGTCTGATGATAGATCATTATAGGCTGTAATCTACTTATTAACTAAAATTTTTGATTTCCCATATAGGCATCTTCAAATGTTTTCTAGACCTTGGGTTTTATTCCAATATTACCTACTCTAATATAAGGAAACTCTAGTCTAGCAAGATAATTTTCAATAAAAAGAGTTGTACAATACAAGAATACTATCATTCTACTTGCTTCACATTGCAATACATAAATATTAAGTCTGAATGTCCAAGACTATCATTTAATCAATGCTTTTCTATTCATTTACTGACACTAGCAAACATCTATCACCAGTATCCTTGGCTACCACATTATTATGTCTGTACACTGCTCAGATCACAATGTGATTTATCCAGCAATAGGCCATTACTTTTCCTACCAATGGTAGAGACAATCACTCTGACCTACTAAGACCATTTAGTGAAATTGTCCTGTAAGGACCTTATGTTAGAGCAGTTCAGGCAGAATGCTCACTTTCCTGTCTCTTGAGGAGTTAAAAGCAACAGCCATAAATTTATTCTCCCTAGTTTAAACTCTTTTAATAGACAATGAAGATAATACAATTTTCCATAAAATATTACTGTAAATGTTTAAAACATTTTCCCTAACTTGTTCTACTTTTGTTCCTACACAATCGGTGGGGGGATGGGGGGGGCGGGGAAGGATTATTCATTAATGAGAGCCAAAGTGTCTTGGTATAAGGTTGATTGCCATTACTATCCCACCGTGAAGTATAAACCTGGGAATATATATATAAGCCATGGCAAGCAGTTACGGTTATCTCATCATTTTATAGCTTTTTCAAGTAAAAATGCACTGAACTCCAACCTTTAAAATCATATAAGCAAATGCCTTAACCAGCAAATACCTTAAAAGTTATTTCTTCCATTTAAGCATGGACTCATTTCAGGAAATTTTTATTTGTAAAGATTGTTCCTAAATTTTGAGTGATGATAGGAAAATGTTCTGACAAAAGAAAAGGTTAAATTATATTTAGTGCAAATGTAAGTAATACAAACAACGTAGCCTATTGAAAATTATGACACATCCTATTTTAATATGAAAAATTCCTTTTACCATAGGAAAAATGGATCTTAAGTAATTGAATCTAAATGTTAATTTGAGAAACAGTTTATAATGACTTCCGTTCTGTTCACAGTTGATAGGTGAGATCTTGCTACCTGCTAGAAAATTAGATGCTGCAAATTACAAAAGAAGAGTAAGACATAGAAAAAAAAGACATTGTCTTTTTTCTTCTTTTTGTGTTTGTTCTCCAAGTTATTAGAAACGGTAACATTAAAAGAAACTCTCATACCTTTAGAAGTTCTCTTCTCATTGAATTTATTTATGAGACAGCACTTCTTAATTCCTTTTACAGAAGAAGCCCTGATGTTAATTAAGGGCGGAATTAGAGTTACTCACAGCATAATACCATGCACAGGTGGGAGTCTATAGAGAGAAATTCTGTCTATATGAATCAGACTCTCTCAGGCTATCACATCAAACAAAGTTATCTTCAAGGGTAAAATGTAAAATATGTCTGGCAAAAGAATTTCCAAATTATGCCAAAAAATATGAATTTCCAACTTATGCCAGCAGGGTCATTTAATATTGGCTTAATAAACCAGTACATTTTATATGGCTTCACTTCATAAAGCTGAGAGTAGAAAAAGTGCATTCTATTTATTTATATGTTAATATCTGGTATCTAAAATAGTCTCTTGTACATATCTTCAATAATTGCATGAGGGAAGGATGGATGGATCAATGGGGAAAAGAGCTTTTGAAAATTATTTGGTACCCACATTCTACTTCTATAACATCTTAACAATCTGTTAAATTTCTGGGAATGTGGCTCAGATTTCACTCCACTGTACTACCACCAACCTATGATTCATAAATCATATGCTCTGAGTTTGAAATGATGGATTATCCAATCAAACCTCCTACCCAGTGTAAGAAGTCTTTGCAATATGCCTGTGAAACAGTTGCCCAGTGTCTGCTTGCACATCTCAAATAATCTTTTTGTACAAAGGCAACTTTTCATATTTAGAAAAAATAATTTACCTTTAATTACTTTCAAATTTACATAAATTACCGCTATAGTACAAAAACCTACTATCTTGACCTCCTCCTGTCTCCCCAGTTGTTAGCATCCACCACATTTGTGTGTTTCATCTATATATATGTATCTCCTCTCCATAAACAGATGTAAATATAGATATGTACATGTGTTACCTGTGTGTGTATATACACACATTTTATACATATAATAATTAGTATTTTCTGAATCATTTTATAGCAAGCTGAATGCATTTCTATCATAAGCATTCTATTATTATATTTTTCTAAAACAAGGACACTCTCTTACATCATCACACCACCCAGCAGACAAACACACACGTCCACACGCACAGGGAAATACACTTTTCTCCTACAGTCTTTCCCATATGTGATTGTCATTGCATGAGGAGGAAAGGAAATATGAATAGAAGTCATGATGCCTGACTCAGAATGTACTTAAATGTAGTTAGAACAGGCAGCTGTCTTCTGAAAACCTTTCTGTCACCACCATCTCCACCAAACCAAAATATTTGCTCCACTGGTGCTGGAAAGTCTATCGTTAGAATTCATTTCATTGACTTTATACTATTACGAAGCAAGTGAACAGAATGATGAATAGCAAATACCATGATTTTGAAGTAAAACAGTCCAGTCTCAACTCTGCTGTTGATAATTAAGCACTCTCCGAATGGATTCACATCAAATATTTTAGCTCTAAGCTAATATATTTCATATGATTATTGCATGGTTTAAACACAATGGACATTTGCAGTTGCTATACCAAGTGGTCCCCTACATATTGTGTATTATTTTCCTTTACTACGTGCTGTTGAAAAATTCTTAAACTACAGCTAGTTTTAAATGAACTCTTTAAAACATAAATATATAGTAAGTCCTTACAGTAATGTAAACAAATTTACCAATTCTTTCTATAGAACATAATAAAAAAAGTAGAATAATAATATTTGTTGCCTGGAGCATGATTATATTCGTAAATAAAAATGGGTTAACAAAAAGAGGCTGTAAGTTGCAGAACCGGTATTTCCCACTTGACTTTTCACATAGAGTGGGTCCTCTTTATAGTCCCAGGCCCATTTATTTTTTTTCAAGACTGTTTCCTCTTTGATGTGCTATGGTATTCAATTTTAAAATACAGTATAAGAAAGTATTGAAGTAGATCATATGCAGTAATTTCCCAATAAGCTTATAGAATGAACAAAAGCCAATAAGAATTCATAGGAAGTGGTGCTACTGACAAGGTCTAATTGCCATTATGAGGATCATTAAAAAAATACTAGAAAGTGTAAAAAAGTAGAAACAGTTTTCTTATTCACATTTGTAGACATTTACTGCGTCAGTACTTTCATATATTCCAATGCAGGTTTTACGATAAAAATTGACCAAAAATGTCTATAGAAACAACCAGAAGAACAATTGGTTAGAACTTTGTTCTGGACGGTAAAGTTTTTATATAAACATTCTTGAGAATAAATACCAATTGATGTTGCTCCCACTTTAGTTCAATATTTATTTTACTAAGAATACAGAGAAACTGAAAGGCGACAAATAAAAGCAGTACTAAAATATCCCCAGAAGACAAAACTTCCTGAAGTTCAATTATAAAATAAAAGGTAGAATTCTTGATGCTTTTTCTGCATTTTTTAATGTACCTTATGTAACAATGAAGCTTTTTCTATTATAATTACTTTTTATTTTTCTTTACTTCACAACTTCTTTCTTGGCAAAATTGCTTGGCTTTTCGTTCATGATCTAGAATTTCCTTGGGAAACAGGCTTTTCTCATCAAATACAGCTTTCAAACCTACAGAACCATGAGGAAAATCACATGTGAATTATATTTAATTTACATGGTAAGAGACCTAATTAAATATAAAATGGGGAGAAAATTCTCACATCTTTTTCTAAAAGTTTTTGTTTCTAAAACATAGGAGTGTATTTGGGAAAATATTCTCTAAGGTGCTATTCTGTTTACTTCAATTTACATAGAAAAGTTAAATTTTAATTGAGTTTGTTCTTTTAAGGCATATATCTTCTTAATAGAAATCCACCATTCTAAGGGTAGAAGTTTGTGTTTTCCACTTTTGTTTTTTAATCTACTTAACAGCTACCAAGACATAAAGAGCCAGGAAAAAAATTATTCTGTATTGAAATAAGACAATTAAAATAATCAAAACACAGTTTGACTGTCTGCATGAATAAACAAGTGCATCTACAGTCACATCTGTAGGGGTTTGCAGTTTCAGGGGAAAAAAAAAAAAGAACCGCATTATTTCCATGAGTGGTTATATTGTGCGTCAGTGAGAGGTAGGAGGAAACTGTGCCATGCATTCTAGAAAATAATTTTGGCACTTTGCATTTATTATTTAAACAAATGCTTATTGAATGTCTGTTATACGCAATGTTCTGTGTTCACGCATAAATGAGGCACAAATACGACCAAGTCACGAGCTTACTTACAATTGATGGAAAGTAGAAGCAGTACCCAAATAACCAAAACATCATATACAAAAAGATATCATTCCAAGAGAATATAAGCAATGCAAATTGTGTATGAACATGTAAAAGATATTATAATATATAAAGATTTAAAACAAAAAGGGTTAGGAATTAGGTACTTATTTGAGGTAGGTCTTGAATTCCAGACAGGACTTTAATTGATAATAAGAAACATGGAGGTGGGGAAGAATTGGCAAAGGTTGGATAGAAAGTGTCAACTAGAGGTGAATAAAGAATGGAAAGATATTTACTATTGGAATGACTGTGGATAATTCAGTACAAATTAAAAGAAGCATTAAATATGTGAAAGGAAGTGAAATGGAATAAAGTTGAGCTGGACTTAGGAAAAATTTAAATACCAAAGAATATGAAATTTAAAAAGTAAACATTGAATGACTTTATAGTATAGTGGCATACTTGTATATGAGGATTAAACACACACAAAAAAAAAAACAAAAACCTTCCACTGCCAATATAAACTATACTCTATAGAGGAAGTATATACAGATCATGGCTACAAAAGTCAGGATCTTCCCTCTTCTTCTCATGGAAATTATATAAAAGCAACCAGGAAAATGAGAGAAAATAGCTTTGCAAATATATTCTATTTCAGCAAAACTCAAAGGGAGATGTAATCTATAGCCTATAAAATATGAAGAACCAAACAGCTGAGATTGGAAAAAAGTTACCCAAGAAAAAGTAAAAATATAGAGAGTCTAAGGCCAGCCGCAGCATCTTAGAATGTTCTGGGAAAAAGATAGTCACTGTGAGTGACAGGCTCACCATGAAGTACAAATGGTTTATCCCTTGTATAATACATGAATGCTCAAACGAGGTGAACACAGCTGGAAGCAGAAGCTCTTTGGGACCTGGTTTGGATCAGTGAAATAGATGAGGCAGGGCTAACTGTATTACACACTTGAGTCATTTTTTGCTAAATCAGTCTGTTCCCATGGGTTGTAAAACTTGAAGGATACTCTTATCTCACATCCCAGCCTCTTACTCAACAATTTACCACATATTTCAAGTCAAAAAAGAAAAAAAAAACAAAAACCCCTATGTCATTAAAGCTAATTAATTAAAAGAGGAAACTTTTAAAACTAATACAGCATGAACACAAACTTATTGTAAGAAAAAACTAAAACAAATCAAATTGAAAAAGAGCAGCAAAATAAATACATGAGCCACCACCAGAAAAATATTGCCATTGCACAGATAAATATTGTAACCAAGTATTTTAACAAAAATTAAATTTTAAAATTTAAAACAGCAGTTGCTTCTATGAAAAAAGATCACAGAACAGAAATGAAAATAGGGAAGAGATGAAGACACAAGAGGAAGTGATGAAGTATGAGGTAGCAAAATTCAGATAAAGAGGGAAAAAAATCACAAGGGAGAATATAGTTCCTGGTAAAAGAGTAGGAAATCTAGAATACAGAAATGAGAACAAATAAATAATAAAATAAAAATTATAAAGAGAATGAATTAGAAAATAAATATCGAAGACAGACCAAAAAAAAATGGATCAACAAAAACATAATTATGATAAGTACTTGTATTAGTTCACTTTGACACTGCTGGTAAAGACATACCCAAAACCGGGAACAAAAAAATATTTAATTAGACTTACAGCTTCACATGGCTGGGGAGGCCTCAGAATCATGTAGGAGGCAAAAAATACTTCTTTTTAAAAATATGTGTGTGTATATATATATGTGTGTATATATATATGTGTGTGTATATATATATATATATATATATATATAATTGCACTTTAGGTTCTGGGGTACATGTGCAGAACATGCAGGATTCTTGCATAGGTACATACATGGAAATGTAGCTTGCTGCCTCTAACCCTCCGTCACCTATATCTGGCATTTCTCTCCATGTTATCCCTCCCCAACCTCCCTACCCCAGCTCTCCCACCCCTATACCCCCCACAACAGACCCCAGTGTGTGATGCTCTGCTCCCTGGGTCCATGAGTTCTCATTGTTCAACACCCACCTATGAGTGAGAACATGCAGTGTTTGATTTTCTGTTCTTGTGTCAGTTTGCTGAGAATGATGGTTTCCAGATTCATCCATGTCCCTACAAAGGACACGAACTCATCTTTTTTTATGGCTGCATAGTATTCCATGGTATATATGTCCCACATTTTCCCTGTCCAGTCTATCATCGATGGGCATTTGGGTTGGTTCTAGGTTTTTGCTATTGTAAACAGTGCCACATTGAGCATATGTATGCATGTGTCTTTATGATAGAATGATTTATAATCCTTTGGATATATACCCAGTAATGGGACTGCTGGGTCAAATGGAAAAGTACTTCTTACATGACAGCAGCAAGAGAGAAATGAGGAAGAAACAAAAATGGAAACCCCTGTTAAACCCATCATATCTCATGAGACTTATTCACTATCATGAGAATAGAACGAGAAAGACTGGCATTCAATTACCTCCCCCAGGTCCCTCCCACAGCACATGGGAATTCTGGGAAATACAATTCAAATTGAGATTTGAATGGGAACACAGCCAAACCATATCAGTACTTAAGAAAGAAAACCAAAGCATAACAAATATTTAAAGGCATCATTTAATGAAGGTTTCCTCAAATAGAAGTCAACCTGACATATGTTGAAAGGACACATTGTATACTAGGAATAATTGACTTAGAATACTCAAAACCAAGTCATGTCCAAGCAATGTTATTAAACTTTAAAGATGAAAAGGAAATCATCTGGCAACCAGATAAAATAATCAAGTCACCTAAAAAGAAGAAAAGTATCTATCTTGCATTAGATATTTTATAGGAACGACCAACACCAGAAAAGAGTAGAGCAATGTCTACAAGATAATCAGAGAAAGAATATGTGAGCTAAGAATATTACATACATTCAAGTTATCCCTCAAATCTAAAAACTATAAATGGTTTCAATATGCAAGAAATTTAGGGATTATTATTCCTAAGAGTCCTCTTTGAGTTCTTTTTTAATTATTATACTTTCAGTTCTAGGGTACATATGCAGATCTCACAGGTTTGTTATACAGGTATACAGGTGCCATGGTGGTGGTTTGCTGCATCCATCGCCCCGTCATCTACATTAGGTATTTCTCCTAATGCTATCCCTCCCCGATGCTCCCACACGCTGTTGTTCCTCCCGTAGCCCCTCATCCCCCCAGGCCTCGGTGTGTGATGTTCCCTTCCCTGTGTCCGTATGTTCTCATTGTTCAACACCCACTTATGAGTGAGAACATGTGGTTTTTGGTTTTCTGTTCTTGTGTCAGTTTGCTGAGAATGATGATTTTTAAAAGCTAAACTCAGAAATGACTGAGAAAAGTTTGAAAAAAATAACTTGGTGGTGATCACTGAATATATTTAAGTGTAGAATTAAAATTAAAACAATGTGGAGTTTGGGATGACAAAAATAGAAGATAAAGTCCATGTGCCTGACAATATAGAAATGAAACAATTGACAAAAATTTTGAGGATGAAGGAGAAAGAAGGCTTGTTTATGATAAATCGGAGACAAAGAATAACACTGAAAACTGTCAAATGAACTAATAGCAGTATAAGCAAATTTAACAAAATAAAAGTAAGCATAAGGAAAATCAGGTTATGGAATAAAAACTGTGTGGTGGAAGGGGGGCAGGAGAATGAGAAAACAAGCTCATTGTATCATCACTGAGCATAGATCTAATAGTGTCCTGGAGAAATGAAGAACTAGAGGAATTACATAATTCTTTTGATTATAAAGTCAACTATAGAACAAACATACATACACATAAACGTAAACAAAAAGTTACAGATGCAGTGAAAAATTAAAAATATACAAATAGCATTAAAGAGTCTGAGAAACAAAAATGTATCTAATATATAAATATTTCCATACGCTCTATTTCCCAATTTTATTAAAAGAATTATTTTTCAAAATTGGATTAAAAGCAAAACTCAACACATATCTAAAATAAAATGATTTGGAAATTTATTAATAAAAGAACAGAAAAAATACATTAGACAAATGAAAAAAGGTTCACCCTTGACTGACACACTTGCCAAAAAAGCAGGGGTTATGTTCAAAATCATAAATACATACAGAAACCCTAAAAGGTTACACAGAAACTTGTAACATTGGCTACAAGAAACAGATGACAGTGGGGATTATACAGAACACCATCATAGGAGGGAGGGAAACTTCTCAATGAGCAATTTTTATATGTTCTAATATTTGAAGTCTGTGAATATGGTTATTTTTAGTGATAAGATGAAAATGAATAAATCTGGAACTAGCATTAAGTAAAGATAAT